GTCGTCGTCGTCGTCGTCGTCGTCGTCGTCGTCGTCGTCGTCGTCGTCCTGGGCGGCCCGGCGGAGTCGGCGCGCTGCCGCGGCGAGCAGCTGCTCTGGCCCTGGCAGAGTCCAGGCGCCGCCGGCTGCCCTCGAAGCCCCTGCACCTGGGCGGGGGGCCCGGGCGCCGCCTCGGGGCGGAACTGGCAGGCCCGCCTCCTCCGCCGACGCGCGCGTCTCGCCGCCGGCCAGCTCGAGGGCGCCCGCGAGCCGCTCCGCCGCGAACGCCCTGGCCGCGAACTGCGAGCAGTCGTCGCGCCGCGACTCCGGGGCCGCCTCGCGGAGCCGACGTCTCGAGGCCGCCGCGCAGCCGATCGACAGTGGTGAAGCCCCCGGTCGCGCCAATAACCGCCAACCTCCCCCGACGACGCCCCCGCTCCTCTCGCAGCTAGCGACTGCGCCGCCAGCGCCCCGCGCTGCGCTTGCGTCGCGGCGACAGACCCGCCGACGCGCGGCACCGGGCGCCTCGGGCCATCGCCGACCGCGATGCGTTCGAGGGCCAAGGCGCCCGGGGCACATTCCTGTTCCTATATTGTTACAAGCCCAGGCGGGGGGGAAACCCGCCCCCCCCCCCTCAAAAAAAAACCGGACTCCCGGGATCTGGGGCTTTGGGACCCTTCGGACGGGCCTCGAAGCGGCCCCCTGGGCCTCGCAGGGCGTTTTGCCAAGCCTTCGCAGCACACCTAGGGCGATCAGGGGGGTCATCGGAGACGTCCCAGAGAACCCCAAGACAGCACAAGAGCGCTCCGAAAAGCCGTCATACCCCGAAAGATCGCTCCAAAACGTACCAAGATGCCTCCAATAAGCACCCCCAAGAAGGCCCCAAGAGGGAATAATCATCGATTTAATGTAGGTTGTTGGTGAATTTCGGGTTCTCCTCTTTTCGGCTTCCCGACGCTCCAAGACAGCGTTCTTCTGGGCGTCCGAAGTCGCCTGGGAGGCTCCAATATCGCCCCGCAACCATCCGAAAGGGCTTCCAGGCAGTCCAAGAGAGCCCCAGAACGGGACAGCAGGGGTCCAAAATGGCCCTAAGAGAGCCCCATGGCGGCCCAAAATGGCCCCAAGACACCCTCCGAAGCATTCCAAACCGTGACCGGGGCGTTCAGGGAGACTGCGGTTAGAGGCAGGTTGGCCTTGGGAAGCCCCAGAGGCCCCCAGAACACGCCCAGGAGGCCTCCAGAAGGCTTTAAGAAAGCCTGAGAACTTTGGTGAGGCCCCCAGAGGCTCTCCAAGGAGGAGCCTCCGCAAAAAGAGCTGAGGAGGATGGGGAGAATACCCAGGGTATGGCGAGAATGAGGAAGAATAAGCATGGAGGAGGGATAAAAAACAACATTATTATAACGGCGACGCCAGAAAAGGCAGCAAGGAGTTATCGCAAATTTGTCCGCTTGACCTTTCTGCCATTTCCGCGTGCATACCAATATTCAAGGACCAAGGTGCATGGCGCGAAGCGCCACTGCAGTCTTGTATATGTACATATACATGTATACATGTATACATACATACATACATACCTACATACATACATACATGCATACATACATACATACATGCATGCATGCATACATACATACATACACACATACAGACATATATACATACATGCATATATACATGCATACATACATACATACATACATGCATACATACATACCTACATACATACATACATGCATACATACATACACATACATACATACATGCATGCATGCATACGTACATGCGTACGTGCGTACGTACATACAAACATATATACATACATACATGCATACATACATACATACATACATACATACATACATACATACATGCATGCATGCATACATACATACATACATACATACATACATACATACATACACGCATACATACATACATGCATGCATGCATGCATGCATACATGCATACATACATACATGCATGCATGCATGCATGCATGCATACATACATACATACATACATACACACACCTACATTCATACACACAGAGACATACAGACATACATACATATATACAAACATACATACATACATACATACATACATACATACATGCATGCATACATACATACATACCGATATACATACATACATACATACATACGTACATACATACATAGCTACCTACCTACATACATACATACATACATACATATATACATACATACGTATACATGTGTGTACCTCCCGCCAGCAACACGCGCGGCAGGAATGCGAGGGGATCGAAGGTGGTTCGTGGCCATGAGACGCTCACCTCCCGCGCTGGCGCGCCCCTCCTGCCATGGCGACGCGGGAAGAAACTGCGCGCGAGCCCCTGCCCCGAGCTCTGCCTTCCCAGCGGCGAACGGCCGCCCCCCGATGAACGCGAGCCCCCACTACGGCGAAGAAAACGCAGCCAGCCTGCTCGATGAACGACCAAGCATCATCCCCCTTGCAAGAAGTCTGAGAGACCTTTGAAGTTGAAGCGGCAGACTGAGGCGCGGGCTCTTGACTACCTGCCCTTCAGCGCTCGCGCCTGGCCTGGTCAGGGATTGTCAAGACCAGGCCGAACCGCCTGACGAGTCGGCGCCCTTGCTCTTCCCCACCTTCGCGGCCTCGGCGCGGGCCTCCGCCTGGGACTCCGCCTCGGACAAGCGCCTGGCTTCCGCCTCGACTTGGGCAGCCCGGGCGGCAGCAGCCGCCTGCTGGGCGGCCGCTGCGGCCGGCCGCGGGCCCGTCCACCGCCGCTCCACAGATTCCCGCGGGAGCTGCGTCGCCCTCGCCAGCGCCCGGGGCGGTTGCGGTGGCGGGGCCGGCCGCGCCCCCTGCACCTGACCCCCCTTGGTCTGCATCCTCGCGGGGGGACCTCCTTGCGGAGCTTCTCCCTGCGATCCAGCGGCCCACGAGTGTCGCCTTCCTTCGCCGTCGTTTGTTTTTCTCCCTCGGCGGCAGGAAAGCGCCGGCGGGTCTCCTCGAAGCCGTCGCGCCCGGCCTGGCCGCACTCCACATCATCCAATTTGCTGAGACCTCGGCGCCGCACCCAGACCCCCGACGTAATGATTTTTTCATTACGTCGACTCCAGAATTCTCGACCCCTTCCCCAGGACCGGTTTGTCATCCTGAGTCGTTTTTTGACGCTCCCGAAGCCCGGTGAGGGCCCCCAGAGGCCGAAAATGGCGAAAAACCTCCCGTCGTGATTTCTTCATAACTCGAGGGGGTCTGGGCAGGTGACTGCCAACATGCCGGGGTCCGCCTCGCCATGGGCGGCGCGGCGGCCCCCGGGGCTGCTGCGGCCCGCTCCGACGCCACCTGCGTGGAGCAGCGGCTGCCACCGCCGCCCTCCTCGCGAGGGTCGCCTCCGCCGGCGCCACGGCCGCCTCCTACTTCTTACCCCTCTAAAGGGAAATTAGGACACACAAATAAATACACACAAATAAAAATATCCCCCATATTTTCCCATATTTTCTGGGTTTCTGTCTTCCCCCCCACTTCCCATATTTTCCCATATTTTCTGGGGAATCGAGGATTAATTGTGTCTGTGTGTTTCTTTTCCTCCTGATTCTTATCCCTCAGCCAGCGCCACGGGTTGACGAAAGCGAAGCAAACATCTAGCTGCCCGCGGACGCTTCTGAACAGCATCTCGCAGGGTGCCATGGGCTCGCCGCAGCAGCTCCGCGACCGCGGTTTCCTGCTGCCTGGAACCCTCGGCCTCCTTCTCCACCGTGACGGCCCGCTGCTAGAGGGAAGACTTCGACTCTGGATCGCCGGTGGCCGCAAGCGTGCGGTGCAGAAGACAAGCAGCCCCGTTGGGCCCAGTCACAGCCTCCCCACGTTCGCGCCATAGTTGCGTCTTTTCGTCACGTCGCCCTCGGTTGCCTCTGCCTGCCCCAGGGCCGTTGGCAAGCGAAGCGCTCCTCGAGCGGCAAAGGATCCCCTTCGGGTGGAGGAGCGGGGTCTCCTCCTTGATGCCGCCAACGAAGCGCACCTTCATACCTTTGGATTTGAACAGCGACAAGTCACAGGTGCACGGCTAGCAAGCGATTCTCTCCTGCTTTAGTCGGCGCCGCACAAATCCACTGCGGCCCGTGCGGGTGAAATCCTCCAAGTGCTGCGCGGAGGCACAAGAGAATGAACCCTGTCAAAATGGTTCGGGCCCAAGCGCGTGAGAGGAGAAAGAGAACGAGGAAGAGGAGGAGAAGGAGGAAGAGGAGGAGGAGGAGGAGGAGAAGGAGGAGGAGGAGGAGAGAAGGAGGAGGAGGAGGAGGAGGAGGAGAAGGGGGAGGGTTAGGAGGAAGAGGAGGAGGAGGAGGAGGAGGAGGAGGAGAAGGAGGAGAGGCTCCAGCCGACGCTCGCGATGGGCCCGTGCCGTCGGGCCGGCGGGAGATGCAGCGTGCGCGCTCTCGCAGGCAGGCGAGAGGTGCAGCGACTCGGAGGGGCCGTTTTCTTCTGTGAGGGGGGCGGCCGCGTGTGGGGCCCTCGTACTGAGCAGGGACTTCGTGAGGAAACTGGGAGGTATGGCAAGGAGCAACTTGCCGTCGCTCGGACGTCCATTTCCCGTGCTTGTTTCGGTTTCGCGCATGTTTTTGTTTTCGGCTCGATGACCAAGGATGCTCCTCGATGGTCCTCGCCGAAGGAAAAATGCACACGTCCGAGCGATGCCAAGTCAACGGTGTGCGTGAATTGCCGGAAGGCGTCGCCCGCAGGAGGAGAGCGATGTCGGGCCAAACGGGCCACGAGGAAGGAGGAGGGAGGAGGCGAGGAGAAGGAACAGAGAGGGAGAGAGGGAGAGGAATGGGGAAACGAATAAGTAGGACGAGAAGGAAGACGGCACCAAGTACAACGCGAAACACAAAGACGACGCAGGGGACACGGAGGACGAGGAGGAAACGGATGCGGATGAGAGCGTTAGGACGACGAGGGAAGAGGAACAAGAGAGGAAACAACACGAAGCGGATTAGTGGGGAGGTCGGTGTAGCGCGCACCTGCTGCATCGGCTGCTGCATCGGCTGCTGCACGTATTGCACCTGGGAGGAGGAAGCAGGAAATGTAGGATTTGAAAAGAGGAAAGAGGACGCGGAGGACAATAAAGAGGGAGGATATCATATAGGGATCAGCACTGGGGGGCAAAAGCGGCCGCAAGGCTCACGCATTCAGTGCGAGTGATTTTTCACGTCACGCACGGGGCCCAGTGCTCTTGGCATCCTTCTCCGCTGGCGGAGGTGTCACTGCGCAGTGCCTGGTGCCAGTGCATCCTGCCATCAGGCCACCCAGTGCTACTGGCAGAGGCCGC